AACACTGAATCATCAGCTACAGTCTTATGAGCGCGGTGGTATTGTTAAACGAGGTTCTGTATATATAAGTGTTTGAATTTAAGTATTGCTTTAATATTATCATTATACACTAGCTAATGCTAGTATTTCTGCGACACTTAGTTCGCGTCTATAAGCATACCATTCATCAACTGATCCTTGATAGCTACCTCCTATTTGAATAGTTTGGAGATTGTAGTTAAAATAGTACGTAGAAATGCCCGTTATTGCACCTTGTGATACACCATTAACATATAAAATAAAGCCATTTGTTACGCTAAATGTGCAGGCCACATGCACCCACGTATTCACTACTAGAAAAACACCATATATATATTGCCAAGTGTTTACGGGAGATCCTTCTTGAATTTGGGCTGCGATTTGACCACTATTAGTTAAGCCAAGCATCTGGTAACCTTGAGTACTATATACTAAAGTACCGCCACTTATTGATGACGGGTAGAGCCACATGGCAAATGTAAGCGATTTACTAGACGGCCAACCAACCCCAGTAAAGCAGCATACTTGCAAATAACTTGAAGTGCTTGTGAAGCGAATGGCTTGCCCCACATGTCCACTTGTAGATGATAAAAGGTACGTAACTGTTGCATTTAAACGGTTTTGACCATTATCATAGTAGGGATTTGGCTGATCGAATGAATAGTAGAATACTAATGTTGCGTCAGTCAATATTTCTGTTGAACTTTTCGCACGTGTTGTCAATTGTGCGTTATCCATGACACCGTAGTAATAAGTCGATATTAAATTTGGCAAAGAACCAAAATACATAGATCCGTTCGTTCCAAGATAAGGCGTCGTCACACTAGAACGGATTGCATCTTGAACGCCATCGAGGTAAATAATTTGTTGAAACGTTTGGTAGTTATAGACAAAGGCCACATAGTACCAATTGTTCGCATACAATGTTGTTAATCCCGATAAATCATTGAAATTAAAGCCCATATACAATTTACTACTTCGAACAAGAAAAAATAAACACTGACTTGTACAAGTGGTACATGTACACTGACTAAATATAGGTTGATCAGTCGACAAACTGTAAAAATAAACCCATGCTTCGAATGTGAAACTTCGAGAGTTTAGATTGAAATAGGATGAGGCTGGCACTTGCATATAATTGTTTGTATTAGGTATGTAGAAATATGTGCCACCATAGAACCCTGTTGTGAGATATTGACATGAGCCACAGTTACTTGTTCCGTTATAAACACCATATAAGTCATTGCCATTGCCTTCAAAATTCCAATAAGCAAGAACTGTTGCAGCCGTTGTTGTACTCGTTGTCGCTGCTGACGATTCTACAATTTTATAAGAGATAATATAGCAAATTAATTTCTTTCGAAGATAGCTTACTTTTACTGGAGATGACTGCTATTGATATAACAATGGCTGCAATAACTGCTACGCCTGCTACAATTCCGCAGATAATTAAAACCTTTTTTGTCATCCATTTCGGGCTCGTAAATTTAAAACTGAAAAGTTTAGAAATGAAGCGCACGACAGATATGAGACAGGTAAGCTATCTCCCTTCATATTTACCTTTTTTTACTCTTTATTGTTCGAATATTCTCTGATTTTACTGATATATTTCTTGTAGTAATGGGAGATACGCTTCCCTAAACAATAACACAAATAAAATACGAGCACATAAGTCTGATATTTTGTATTAAAAGCCTCATCCTAATCTTCACTATAGTCTAACTGTATCTGGTGATTACCGTCATAAACCTCTACTCAAAAATTCTTCTTCTAAGTCGATTTCTTAAAGGCTGATTCATAATCTTCATAATCTGCAGCTTCGTTAATGCTGACAACTTCTACTTAAACTCACTATCCTCGTTAAGACCATTTAAACTACTTTCCCTATGATATCCCACAGATAATCACTTCGAGATCTTACTAAGATCTCGAAGTGATTATAATGTAATGTAAATTCACAAAAGATAAAAAGTTTTTATCTTTTGTGAATTTACATTATTAGGGAAAATTTTCAAATTCAACGTCAAATTTCAAATTGTCTCCAGGCAGTTTTTGTCTTCAGTCACTATTGCGATTAAATAGTCCTTGATGGGAGACAGGCGAACAGTAGGTATGCACCAGTTAAAAACTGTTGTGGGCACGTCCAGAAATAATTCGGTTTTGAAGAATTACTAAGAGTTCTGTAACGTCTCATTTTATAGAAAATGTTTACGCTTTTGCTCTATAAAGCTCAGTTGTCAAAGAAATTTAGACGTTACAACAAAAATATTGTTAGAAATAATGATTGGTGGCACTTTTCGAAAGATGTTTTTTTATACTAAAGACTAATTGAATCCCCTTCTGCTTATGGGAGAAAATGGAATGGAACCAGAAAATGGTCACCAGATAGGGGATTATTTCTCCTTAGTATCCAGTTGATAAAAACCTTTTTTTACGCTGTATAAGCACCGCCAAAGTATGAAAACTACATCAGTCGATAGAGGAGAGCGCCAGCTACATCTTCGTAAAAAAGATAATTTTGAAAAGCTTTTTCCTCAGGGTGAAAACGGGTTAAGCCAAAAGCGCCATACTCTTCCGTGTGACCTCGGAATCTCGAGAATGAGGGGATGAAAGAAGAATTCTGATTCGGCCATTCGAAAGGGCATTAAAACCTGAGTAAGCTAAATATAGTCTGGGAATTAAATAAAAGAATGTGACTCATCTTTCAATCGAAAAACTGACATCATTCACGATAATTCTTTCTGAATCGTACCATCATTACTCGACAGCGTGGTGAAAACGTGGAGACCTACTGATGCAAAAGCGAATGCAATTCTGAACAAGGATATTATATTTAAAAAAACTTCTAACATCAGCGTGGATGCTAAAAAGGGTTTCGGGAAAACCAGGATCCTCAAAACCAGTTCTCTGAGTTTGAGCAAATAATTCTTGCAAACAACTTCATCCGATAGAGCAAACATTTCTGAACAAAATGAGAGATCTCCGGGTTCTCCACGACCATTCTTCATCGAACTGCACTCAATTTACTGAAAACCTCAAACACCGTAAAATCATTGAAATTTTCAAAAACAATAGTTGTGTTTGAGGCCTTTAGTAAATTTAGTCCAGTTCGGTGAAGAATAATCGTGGAGAACTCGGAGACCTCTCATTTTGTTCAGAAATGTTTGCTCTATCGAATGAAGTTGTCGTGGCTAAGAAGTTGTAACTTAACGTGGCTAAAAGCTTAGCCCGTATATATACGGACGTCGGCACGAAAGGGTTAAAGACGAAAATAGTTTAATACTAATTCAGCACACATTATTTTTCAAATATCGTTATATAATCGATATACGGAACTTAACTAACTATATGTTACCCTCACGAATTGATGGAATAACACTAAGAATTATAGAAGTTGATCTGTGACGATCTGATTAACTCACATGGTACAAACGGCTCTGGTTACCAGCAAAATATCTCTTTATTCAAATCACTTTTCGCATTTTGGCGCGAACAGTGGCGCCATTTTAAACGCACCACTGTTCGCGCCAAAATGCGAAAAGTGATTCATAGGCTTTCAAATATTCAGTTTCCCAGATCTAAGATTAATAGGCAGGCAACCCAGGTCCATCAATGCGACCAACTTTTTGTATATACTGGTTTTGTCTCGATGGATTTCACCCCCTATGATATCCTGCATGTCGGGGCGCGATCGCGATGAAATCTTATATTCGCGTCACGATCGCTATAATGTCGCGAAGTCACGACGGGACTCTGAATTCTGCATCCATTCGATTCAAATAGATTTTGAATTCATATGGGTTTTTACTTAGCGCAATCACTACCAGATCGCTATTTCGCGACGCGACTCATGTCAAGGGATTTTATTGATGGATATAGTTAGTCATTTTCTTGAATTACAAGAACGCAAAACAATTCTTTTTCTCTCTTATTTCAAAGTGAGAATTTATGTTTCGTATATACGAATAGATAGTCCACATTCTGTCTATAACATAAATAGTATACTATATGTCTAGACACATAGACACGTGTGTGATCGAAGATATGTGTTTTTGTTATTTTCATTTTAAATGAGATATACAAAAAAAAAATCAGTGTCCATATTATACACAAGACACTTTGTATTTTCTTAACATAGTGTGCGGACTATTTTTATACTCGAATTTTTTGCAGTTTGTATCTGCTTTTTTCACTTTTTCAAAAGGTAATTACATGAAAAAACAAGTAGTATACAAAGTAAGTACACAGCAATTTCAACGAACGAAAGAGTATGGAAACATAAATCCTTCCCACTTTTCTTGTCACAAAGTTGAAATCTTTTTTTTTACCTATTTTGGGTACCAAAACGCTCTCTTTCACAAAATGTATGAGATCTAGGGACTTCCACTATATATAACTTTGTTAAATATGTTAACTTCGCAAGGTCTCAGAATAAAATTGCACTAAAGTGAGAAAAGCATTAAAGATTGATGTCATCGCAATCGTGAGTATCCTCGGTGTAAGATCGCTTTGTCGTTGGTGACTTTCAGGATGTAGCGAGTATCAGTTCGGTCCTGTTTGACGCAGAGAGGATTGGGGCTAAGCCATTCGGCCTCATTCACAGGATGCTAGATTGGCTCTAGCAACGAACGGATATTAGCGTCTAGTATTCAAGGATACGCATTCTCTGAAAGTCCAAGCGTGAATGTTTTCTTCACATACGGCAAACGTTACCTTATTGGTAAGGCTCACGTTCGAATCATAAGACATCAGCCTCTCTCACCTTTATTTTGATACCAGACTTTGAATGATAAGGGACAGAAAACTTCATCTGAGATGAAAATTTCTTTCACTAAAGTTATCACAGTTCACTATTAACTTTCTAGAAATAGAGTAAAGCCATGGGCACGAGCGTCGTCTCGCCCGTGGTAAAAATAGTTCACGCTGGCAACAGAAATACACCACAAAGATTTAAACGAGGGACTAGACCTTCAAAATTCACTTTGAACCGGTAATAGCGAATCAACCGGTAATCGCGACGCGGCAATAGCGAATCAACCGCGATCACCGAGCGACAATAGCGAATGAAGAGAATCAATCAATGATAATCGCGGCTTCAAAGCGATCGCGTGGCGCGTTCGCGGCGCAAATTTTTATCGCGAGTCGCGCCGCGACTTCAGCGTGACAGTCGATCTGGGAAGGCCTCGGATTGGTTGGTTTTCGGCAGAGAAAAAATGTTTAACATAGAAAAAAGGTTAAAAGACTTATACAGAGTTCTTTATCCACAAATAACATCAATGCAAAATTGAAAGAACTTAAAAAGACTTAAAAAAATTTTCTCAACCTTTCCGTATTAGCGCCATCTATAACTCATCAAAACTGAATAGAAGCCGGGAAAAATCCTAATGAAGACTACTGAAAATAGTAAAACATAAAATTTAGCAAGTCTTTTAACAGAGTAGATCCTCAAATGGCCTCAATAACTATCTAAAAGTTCTTAGCAACGGCGACACAAACATGCGACACAATTTTATTACAGGAGCTGCGACACATTTTACTGCAACACAAAATGCGACATAATATTTTTTACTGTGTGATTGCACTGAAACGACTAGAACAATCTAATTGACTTTAAGGCTAGAAGGCGTTTGCTTTCTTAATGCCCTTCGTTTCACAGACTTTCTTTTTAAAATGTTTTCAATTCAGTCACTTGAAAAATGTTTTAATATAACAAAGCGAAACAAGTTAAATGAAAAGATTATTAGTATGCTCTTGGCAAAATGTCAAAAAAGTCGATTTTTTTCTTACTTACATTTATGCTTGGGTAGCTGCTGCTAAGAAAGGAATTAGCACTATATGTTTGGAACTGAGTTCGTTTAGGTACATATGCTGTTTTTGGCATACTAAAATTTGACAACAAAAACGATTATAACAAGATTTCTAGAAAGCATAAGAAACTCTGCATCTTAATGCACAATCAGGACAAGCGTTTCCGACGATCAGAACAGACTATCGCTTCCAGCGCCGGACCTGACCGGACAAGGAACGGAAAACGGCCGGAATGTAATTGTATAATCTGAAAGCCTCACAATATATGTCTTCGTGCTGTCCTGCATTCAACAAGTATTTTCTAATCTTACCGGTACGGTAAGAGTCCGTTTAGTATCAGCTGGAATTGAGAAGAGATTCCACTGAATCTATTACAGGAGCCTTTAGATGCCTTATTAATACTTTCAGCAAGACTGTACTATTTTACGTTCTTTTGGGCCTAATCTGGAGTGATTGCTTGGGTAGCTGCTGCTAAGAAAGGAGTTAGCACTATGTTTGGAAATGACGAGGGACCTTTTCCAACTGTCTAATCGCTTTCTGGTCGAAACCTAGTGGGTTGTAGGTATCGATCACGCCGATTCCGAATAACGATATGAGACGGGCCGCCAGACCTTCTTAGACCAGTTGTCTAAAAAACTGATTTTCTAGAAACCTCGAAAGGTTCCTAAAATTTTCTCTTAATACATTATCACTGTAGCCCACGAAATTCTGACGAAAATGAGACATCTCCCACCTCTACATGATCTTTCTTTGCAAAGTTATAGAATTTACAAGAAAAGCCCTATATGTTCATTTTTAGCGCAAAGCTACAGAAATAAGAAGAAATTAATTTGGAACTTTTCTTGTAAATTCTATAACTTTGCAAAGAAAGATCATGTAGAGGTGGGAGATGTCTCATTTTCATCAGAACTTCGTGGGCTACAATCGTGATATATTTGGCATACTAAAATACGACAACAAAAACTAATTTTAGATACGGGGTTTCTAGAAAACATAAGAAACTCTGCATCTTAATGTATAATAACGAAAACCGCGATGCCCATTCCCTAACGTTCCATTTCTTCTGTTTTGACTAAGCTAAACACACGCTAGTCTAAAATAATGTCTCATCTAATACTAGATATCAATCAGACATACCATCAGAGATACCATCTTACCATAAAAAACTTACGGTACTACCACTATTTGTTAAATAGTGGCGTCTCAAAAATCGATTTTTTATCAAACATCTTAACCCTATCTTTTTTATGAAAAAAGGTCTAAAACACTTCTACAATAACGTTCCGATTACCTTTGATTATAGTTCTTGATCTTACAGATGCATTCAAATTGGTGTTTTTTATTTTCTTTCTTCTATAAAGTAGAAAGTGTTTTTGTTTTTAAATTTGTTTTTTATCTAAGTACTAGTAATTGCGGACAAAGAAACAACACACTGATTGATTTCAAATAATGATTTGCCGAAGTGATGCATTAAATTTTCTCCTTCGTGTTGTTGATGTGATAGTGAGTGTTTGTTATGCAAACCAGAGCAAGGAAGAATTTGGGTCGAAATACAAAAAAGTGAAAGTGATTTTCTCAGTTGTCTAAGCCTACACTTTTGCTCAGAAATGGTGATTCTGATCGTATGATTTTTGTCGAAAAATGTGAAAGAAAAAAATGGCCGTATCACCACTTCTCCTTCACATAACGAACGAATCGATTAATGAATGGTGGGTGCATCAACAGCATAAAAGAGAATAATTATTGCACCATTTTAAAACACCTTCAATGTATGAAATCAGTCTGTGTATTGTTTCTATCGTAAACAAAACTAAATTTAATACCATTATTTAATTTCATCAGAATGATGTCAAAACTGTATGATCCATTGTATAATTTCAATTCATCTTTCTGATTTTTTTCCGTAGATTTTTGAATGTGACGATATAAACATTCACACATATATCTTGACAGCACTTATCTTATATGTTAATATCTATACTAGGGATACAATCGTAACGGTAACCGTACCTTACCTGTTACCGATCGAGCCGGTTCTGACCGGTAACCGTTACCGGTTTCAACTCGCGACGATTGCAAAAGCTACGGTCGGAGTTGTATATGTACATATTATTTTTTTGCCCCTTGTCCTTTGGTACGGAATCTTTTTATTAGACGTGTTTTCGAATCACTTCTTCTTCGAGGGCAAATTATTGCTTGCATAGCAAGAATTTGCTTCATAAAATAGTCATGATGTAAAACAAAAACTTGAAAAACAAAATATACAACTCCGACCGTAGCTTTTGCAATCGTCGCGGGTTGAAACCGGTAACAGTTACCGGTCAGAACCGGTTCGATCGGTAACAGGTAAGGTACGGTTACCGTTACGATTAATATATTTGCTACACAATTCAAAACACAAAATTAATATTTCTTTAATCACAATTCTCTGTTAATCAACATAACGTTGAAGAAAAATACTTTTTAACATGGAACAAACAGTGTGACTCAAACTAACTTAAGAATTCATATCACTCGCAGAACCGGTTGCCGGTTGTCAACCGTTACCTTTAAACCCTAATCTGTACCACAAACCAGTTGCATAAATACCTGTATCTAGTAGAAAATCTACTCAGTTTTTGAAGCGAACATTGTTTGATCAACCGGCAAAAGGGCTGAGACAAAAAGTAAAATAATCGGAAAAGGAATATGACAGAAACAGATCTTTCAGCCTTTCTTTCACATTAGTCCCTATGTAAAAACCAAACTGAGAGTTATTTTTTTGGAAACTAAAATTTGATACACTCACTGTCAGTTAGAAAATTAACATTTTACTTGAAGAGATAACGACTGAACTTTTTAGCAACTACCTGTTATTCTAAAATCTTTCCATAAAGCTTTTGTCTACATTGCTAGTGGCTCATCGAGGTTTCTTCCAGTTTAGACTGAAATTAGGCTCTTAGATGTCTCTTTTTTATTTCTAAAAACCATCAGCACCGCTCCAAGTATAGTTTCAAAAGGTTTTAAAAGTCTAGGTGGGTCTGATTTATTCCCAGTAGAGACTTTATTACACTATCTCGCAAACAGTACATGTCAAAATAGAATTGTGTCAGATGTCTTTTGAATAACTCGGGAGCGAGAGATGACAGAGAAATTCAGTTTTGAACGTTCTGTAGAGAAATGTTGTACTGCATCTTTTGATATATGGCAGGTTTCTAAATTGAGGTTTCAGGTTGTGTACCCCATGCGTGAGAAAAGGAGTGGTTGCGGTATATTGAAGGTATGATGGATTTTAAACTCATGTTTTATGATTAAATGGCCCAAGATCAAGGGGGAAAAGGCGGATCTGGGATCCATGCGGATCTACGCGGATCCATGCGAATCTACGCGGATCCATGCGAATACAATTTTATTGAACTGAACTGTCCCAGAAATCTCTGTTCCCACAAGCAAAACAAAAATGTTCTGTCTGTGGGAAAAGAATTCACAGAACACAATTGTCCCGTTATCCAGGAAATTCTCTCAATAAAAGAACCGGACTGTTCTGTTTCGAGAAGACGATTGTCCTGTTTCGCGACTCAGACTGCTCTGTTTTGGGAACAGGATTGTGCTGTTTTAGCGGAAGAATATTGAGACGGATCTGTGGGGATCTTTGCGGATCCGTGGGGATCTCTGTGGATCCGCGGGGATCTTGGCGGATCTACGGAGATCCCGGATCCGCGGTTTCGCCTTTTCCCCCTTGCCCAAAATGCCGTTTGCACAGGTCCAAGGTAATATTTTATTATTATATTCGAGTTATTGGAATAGTAGCCACTGATCTTTTAATGTGAAATAGATATTAGTTATATATGATTTTATCTTTTTTTGTTTTGAAAATTTAGATGGCATTGATTGCAATGGCATTCTACATCGATGCATAGGTTTTATCATCCATTCCATACCATTTATAAGCTAAAAGTAGTAGACAAATTCTGCGTCTTAATTGTGAACGTGATGACTTACTACCTTATTCGTTTGCTTTTTTAGGTTATCTACTGTTTCATGCATTTGTTTTGATTTCATTTTTAATTTATCAATTTCTTGTTTATATTTATGTACAAAATACGTTTTCGAAAATGCGTGTACATACAATTATGCACGACAAGTTTTGGAAAAGTAAATAGCAGACATATCTTTTAGAGTAGTAAAAAAAACGTATTTTGTACATAGGTCACTGCTTTTGCGGCATTTCCGGTGAGGTAAAAAATTTTGAATACATACGCAAGGAAAGAAAAGTTTATGAAACTAAAATATTGAATCTGTTAAGGCTGTGAAGGAAAACCTCAAAAATTTCAATAACTTTCGCAGGGAGAAATAAAAACCCAAATAATTTTGAGATTTTTGCTAGGACACTATACAATATCTGTTAGCAGAAGGTCACTTAAATCGGTGTTGGACACCTAAAGAGGTTCCCTCACTAACAGAACGTTCCACGTAGATTCAGTATCGTCGTGTATTCTAAGCTTCATTTCCAAGAGACAACATCGTTCGACTAACGTGTGCTTTTTCGAGATACACATACAATCTTAGCTTCAAACAATATGATCTGTCAACAGATGTGATACATATGGACTGTCTAAAAGTCATCAATATTATGTGTTTAAATATTCTGAAGAAAAACTGTTACTCGAACGTGCAGTCTAACAGTGTTACTTCTCTTTTTCTATACAAAGTAAGGAGGAATTTCACAAAACTGTGCGGTAGGTAACCGCTTAAATTCTGTAACAGAATAAAAAACGAGATACTCTTAACGATGTCTGTCTATAGTCTTTCAATAGTATCTGTAGTGGCAAATCGAATATTTATCAAATTTTGTTTAGTTTTTCTATTTCATAGGATGATAGTAGGATTCAACTTCGTGAAGAGAAGAATGAGACTATAATAGTGGTGATGAAATCCATTTAAATATTCAAGAAAAATATTCTGAGAATAATTATCCATGCATACATTTATTAGATCGTATAGACCAACAAAGATATGTGTTTAAATTCGAACACTAACGTTTACATCATTATACATATATTATAACAACATTTATTATTGTGTTTATATTAACATTTTTATTTCACATATATTTGTTTCTAATTATCTATTTAATTCATTATATAGACGATTTTATTTGAATGTAACTGACTTTAGAGATTATATGAAAACATATAAATATCAATATGATTATCAACAAAAATTTGCATTAATTCCAGTTACACTACGGCCGTCGATGGCATTTGAACTACAGTTAGCAGTCGTTCCACCATCAACAGCACCCGTTCAACTACACCATGGATCAAACACGCCATCCATGTATGATGATTTAAATATAGTCCACAGACATCTGGATCTGTTAGACCAGAGGGAAGCGATGCGAGCTTACCAGTCTGTTTCTAATCGATCTATGTGGAAATCAGAGCTTGGTAAGTAGTTCTGCGACAGAAAAGATATATACCAAACCATCTGGAAAGAACAGCCAAAAAAGTTGAAATTCCGTAACGGTCACTTTTATTTGATTTTATCTGACAGCGATAATTTGGTAATTCCTGGATCTGATTATTAAACATCATATCAATCTCGATATCGTAAATTAGAGACACACCGACGTAAAAATCAGATGCGTGGAGCTTGCAGCTATAATTCTAGCTCGATGTCCGACGTAACTTAAATGAATGTCACGCGATAATGTGCTTCTTAGCTTCTTATTTTTCCGTTCCAGGAGATAGTTTTGTAATATAGTTCAAGTTTTAAACCTCATATACTTTTATTTTTAAACTCTTTATTTTCAGTTCTAAATATCTCACAAAATAGTTATTTTACAGCAAACGGTAGTCTTTACGGTAGCAAACAGAAAATCCAATATATTTTACTTTAAAATTTACAACAAAAAAAATGGATGCCAATAAAAGGTTTAAGAGAAAAATTCAAACACAACAAAAACTACAATGCCAGAAATATAATCCAAATTATATAGTTCTTGAATTAGCAGACGAGCTAAACTACAGTATCATTGTTGCTTCTTTTTGTCAACGAAACAAATATATATAGTAAAACAATTTTTTATCGGCTAAAACGAAAAATACTGTAAAACGCTTTTGCTCGAAAAATGACTGGCTTTGTGGATGTCTAGTTAGCAAAGAAACATCACATTAATCGCCGGAAAAATATGCTTATGGTCTTGACTATGTTTTTACATACTTTGTAAACAATGCTTGGTGCCATGACTGGTATGACTAGTTTTCTAAACTTTTAAAACAATAGACCATTTACGTTTATTGAGATTGATGGTTTAAGGGTACTCTTCTTTGATCCTTGTGGAAATCGGAGAAGTCGATGTCGGATCGGTGTGAAATTTATACTAGACACAGAACATCGAAAAAATCGATGTATTTTTGCCCAGAATTTTCTGACATGTTCTTCTATGGGTTTTCTGGAAAACTCTAGTTTCATTGGCACACATTACAACCCCAAAAAATGGTCCGATCGGGCTCAAAATTTTACCACAGATGCTTTAGACCCTATCTCAGGATGTCAATTTTTCTTTTCAAAAAACAAGCTTTTCTTCTTGAGATATATATTCGAAAAATACTAAAAGTCTTGTATAAAAAACCGGTTTTTATTTTGAAAACCTTCTCGCGGCTAAAGTTGAAATCAAAAACGCTTGAAAAAATTTGCATGCTAAGATAGTGTCTGAAGTATCTGTGGTAAACGTTTGAGCTCGATCGAGGGGTCGTAATTTGACCCGATTGAAGGAACTATAGAAAAAACCCATAGTGAGAAAAACACATATTGTACACAGGGCTCTGTTTTTCAGGGTATTTGCGGCTATGTTTATATCTCCAAGAAAACTTATCGGAAAATTCTGGAAGACGTTTCATTCTGAAAAACATACTTCTTTGTATCATGCTATTTCTAATAAAATCTTTTGAATGTGTAGAAAATGAGAGAAAAATTTTATAAATCTAAAAAATCCAGATTTTCTAGGCTTCGAAGGAAAAAACTAAAAGCTTCACATCATTTTTTCAAGAAAGGTCTTGGAGAGCTGAAAGTGGTCTTATTTTACAGCCCAGACTTTCCTCTACATTAGAGTATGTTCAGCTCAAAAGGGAAACCTTTCTGCAAAAAAGAGGGGGGGCTACCCCTAACTTGACCAGGAGAGATTCTGTCTCCTCGACAATATGTTTTAACGTCTTTGAATACGCATCTGGTTCACGATAAACATGTATGACCTTACAACATTCAAAGTTTGAATGAATGACAATACTGGATTTATGTTTCAATATTCCCGTCAGGATTCACCGAACGATGCTTCTGCGAACTTGTCATGTTTTATCGGCTTCTTTTTAGTAACTGTAATGGCAACAAGCTGTATCTCGGTATGTATCTTTTCTCGTTCGCGAGAAAGAATAAACAAGGAGAAAAGTTTTTGTAGTCAGTTATTTGAAGAAATTAGTGTAACTGCGAAGATACTTCAACAGCTCGTGTACTATTTTTGTGACTTGAATCTCGTTCCAACACTTCTTTTAATACGACCTCACCTTGAAGGAATATAACCAGTTTCACACTACCTCCCGCCGTAATAGAAG